TTTAAATGTAATTTTATTAATACAAATAATGCTTAATAAAAATTATTAATGCCTGATAATGATTTTTTGCCTGATAACCGATTTTTTGCCTGATAAACAATTTATTATAGTCATCATTAATTATAAAAAATCACGGGATACCGGATAATTTCGTATATTTATTCTTTAACCACATTCGTTCATTTTATTTAACTTTATATATAATAAATACATCAGTCCAAGTTGCTTTATATATAAACAATTAATAAAAAAATATATTATACATATTCATCATTTCAAGCTACAATAATTTTATTTTTTTTTTTTTGAATTAAAATGATAATGAACTATACTAGATTGTAGTCATTTAATTTTAATATATACAATTTAAATTCAAATATTATAGAGGTTAATTATTTTAATTTTTTAAAACATATACTTTATATGATTAACTATAATATAATTTATACCGATTCATTTAATTAAAAATACTTAATATTACAAGAGCTTCTATTTGATGAGATAACAAATGATGCATGACATCATGTTATTCTGAAGTAAGAGGGTTTACTCCTAAAATTGATGAAGGGAAACTTCGACGAGATGTACAAATTTTTTTATTTTCGTGTCTTGTTCTTTCTCAAGATGTATGATTAATTTTAAATCACATTTTGAAAGCAACTTTTCAAATTTTGAAATATTACAAGGTGTTATGCTTTCAATCTTTACTAGTGCTAATTGTCAACATGGATTTAACACGCGATTGAATTACTTATTATTAATCATTTTATTTATTAAAAATAAAAAGAACAGGTACTCATCAACTTATCCGCCTCATGTGATTCATAAATTTAGCTTAATTTTGACTGAGTCTTGAATTTGATAATCTATTTCTAATGGTTAAACTAAATTGCGCTTTAATTCCTGCAAAAAAAATAAAATTTGTAATTGAACCCATTTTTTTCAATATACCTTTAAAATTTTCCTCACCCTTCAAATTTCGCCAGCCAATGTTATTGTCTGTATATACCCGACCCATAATTTCGAAAGATTCTTCGCCTGTTATCCGAAATATAATTGCATTTGTTTTGGCTCTGCGAGAATCCATACGTGATGCTGCTAGATACACTGCGTAAAACTTCATGTATCCTGATACGTGGATGGTTAAAGGTTTCGAACCGGAGAAATATTCCTTTTATCAGTTTAGTGAATGATGAGGATCCGAAGTTTGCCATGGTCTAATTAATGGCTTTGTTGTATCGAGAAATTATGGTATGCCATCTCCTTTAAAGCCTGTACCGAATTGTTCGACCTAAAATTTAGGAAACAAATTGTGCAAAAAATATTTTTCTTAAAATAAAATAATACAATGAGGAACCTTAAACTCTCCCCATTTCTTATTAAGATTAGTCAATAATGTGTTACATCCGCAAATTTTGTCTTAGAATTTTTTTTGGCTTTTGATACGAATTTATTCGCGAAGTGAGTAAGTAATTTCAAATCAAAATATTAAATATTTGAAACTTGTATTTTGTGAAATTAAAAATATGAAAATATAAATATTTTATTTTTATAGCTTTAAATATTGATTTTTCTTATATAAATACTGATATACATGTAAATAATAAAAACCAACAAAATATGTTTGAATATCCAACCGAAAATTTGTTAAAAAAGACATAATGGACCACTTATACTAAATAAAAGAAACACATAACAATTATTTCAATTAAAAAAAGAGATGAAAATAGATAAATAATATCAAAAATTACCACAAAAAAGTACTAATGTTGCCTAAAAGAAAGAAAAAGAAATTGAGATAGAAATTAATAAATAAAAAAATAAGCCAACTTACCCTCAATGTTCCAAAACAAAACCTAAATGAAAAGGAAATGAGTGGGGAATAATTTATAATATGTCAAAACCCGGATGCTGGTTGAGAAAACCCAATTTACCATATGACAATATTGATGATGATGGAACGCAAAAATTTTTTTGTTTTTTGTAATTAAGAACCATACGCGTTAAGCTCTCTTTCGTAAGGGAAGAATAAGACAACAAATGTTTTTGTACGTCTTATTTCTTCTATCTATAATTCATTTACCAAGACGAGACTTATTTTTTTTTCGAATTTATACTTTCGAATTTACCAACAACGAGAATCAATTATTTTTTTCGAATTTAACCAACGATTACGAATTTTAATAATGACTACAAATAAGAAATATCCTGGACATGAAGGCAAGTAAATCTTAAACCCTAGATAACTATTCAAATTTCCCAGCAAAAATTATTCAGCTTTTAACCTGCCTGCCTTTCGACTTCTAGTTCTTATCTCATACTTTAAGCAACGGGAAAGGGGGATCACTGCGATGTCATCGTTACATCGTCGTTTTCGAATGACTGGAAGGCTCTTAACGAGACTTAGATCCATCATTTTTTAGTGGAGGCAAAAGAGCAGTTAAAGCAAATTGCTCTTAATGATTTAAAAGTAAAGGTGCGATTCTTTTTTTATATTTTGCAAAGTGATTATCGAGCACATTTTGATTCAGGAGCAGTATCAGGTAACTGCTTGGATCCACTCCATGTTAAGGTGCCCTTCGTTATAATGTCTGTTGGATCGCTAACTAACCACTTGATATACTGCTGATAATCATAATAGGAATGTGAATATTCGGTAAAATGGGAAGGGATTGATAGGAACGCAAGAAAGATAAATTTACCTGTTTTACCTAGTAGTTATTATCTTATTTATAAATAATATATTATTAATCGCGAACATTATTATTAGGACCTAAGATTAAAAACCGAGCTTCATCATTTTATTTTCTTTTTTTCCGTCTGTCTTGAGACTTGATCCTGCTAAGAAAATTACACTAAATTGCTTGAAGTGATTTAAACGCCATCATTTTATTAAAAAAAAATTTTTTTTTGATAATAACTTTAAAATGGTATTAATGTAATGAGGAAATAATATAACAATATTAATTCTTTCATTCAATTAATTTTCTTTTAAGATATTATGTAAATAACGGAATATTTTTTAAATTTAATTTCAATCCTTAAAATTATAGTTCATTTTACAAATTTTATATCACCGTATGTATTTATTTATTTATATTATGAGCGCAAATCGTTGCCCAATAAATTTCTTGAACTTTTTGTAAACTTGAAAACACAGTATATAATTTAGCAATCGTCTGTTAGTTGCTGTTAACGTTACATTCTGAATACTATCAGAATTATTGACCATAATGATTTCAAAAAAAAATAAAAAAATTTTTTATTTAATGCGCTTAATCAGAGATATTTTTAATTTATTTGACCAATAGATCGTTGAAATGAACTGATATTGAAAGAAAATTCGTCATTTATTACAATTAACTATTTGAAAACCTTCGCATTCAAATTTTGAAAATTTCCCTAATTTATTTTAAAATACAAGATATACTATATATAACATAAAATATATATAAAGTTAATTTACCTTTATTATTTTGGGTCTCAATTTTTAATTCTTCAATACCACGCTTTTTTGAAAAATTTTTGGATAAATTATATGTACATGATGCCATATTAATATCAACGGCCTTTGAACATTGGATATTTGAAGAATTTTTGACTAGCAGGATCCACATTTATAAAAGATGACCTAAATAATTAAATTAAATAAAATACAAAACTAATATATTATCTTTATAAAAAAAATGATTATATAACAAAAAAAAATTAAAACACCAATTTTAAATTAAATAGTCCTTTTTTAATAAACAAAAAAATATCTAAGCTATTTGAGTTTATGACATATATTTACTAATAAAAGTTTAGCACTTTTTCTTTCAATTTAATTTAAGTTTATCTACATCAGGAAAATTTTCAGGGAGATAAATAATATCAATGAAAAAATGAAAATTCCATATATGATAATAATCAGATTTGTTGAGTGGATAAATGGCGATTAAATAACAAAAATACCTGATTGGTTAAAGAGCGATAATATCTAATTATTAAACAGCATTAAATTTCTTTATTGTTAAATAGTGCTTTATTGTTAAATAGCATTAGATTACTTTATTATTAGATAATATTAAATTAATTTATTATTAAATAGCATAAGTTTATTGTATAAAAATAGTTAATAAATGTATGCTAAATCTAATGCTAAAATCTGTCTAAATAAAAAATTAAATATAATAACTATCCCATCTGAAACCCATAAAGCAAAATAAACAAAATATTAATAAATATTTCATTAAATAACTTTAAAGGAATGAAAAGACTTACTTTCTATATGACACTTCGAAACCTACAAAACACAATAAACAAAATGTTAATTTAGTTTCATTAAAAAAGCAAAATAGTTTCATTTTTTACGAAACTTACATTTATTTCTCCTGAATTCTGAACCAAATCACTAAATCTATAGAAAGAAACATTTATTAACATTTTGTTAAAAAAAAGCAACTATAAAGAAAAAGATTCATAACGGCTATTTACGAAACTTAACTTTATTTCTCCAAACCTGAACTGATCTATATGTAGAAAAGAAATAAATGAAACGTAAGTTAACATTTTGTTTAATAAAAAATTAATAGTTTAAATACCTTTGAAATTATGTCTAAAAGCAGCCGGCTTGAAACCTAGAAAGAATAAAAAACAAAAACAATAGTTGAAAACTTTTCGTTAAAAAACAAAAGTAAAAAAAACAATGTTTACCTTTTATTCCTCTTGAACCTAACTAGAACTAAAGAAAAAGAAAGGAACAAACGTTTATTAACGTATCATTAATAAATTAATAAAAAAAAATTCAAAGTTATTTACCTTCGAAATTACGCTCAAAAGCTCTTCGAAACCTATAAACGAAATATTAGAAAACATTTCGTCAAAAAAAGTTAATAAACAACTGTAAGCTAAAAAATAATTAAATAAAATGACTTTAACATTTCTTTAAAAAAAAAATATTAAAGAAATTTCCGTAAAACTCCCAAGGCTACAAAAAAGAAAAAGAATTTAAAATGATAGAAACGTTTTTTAAAAAAGACAATAAGAAAAAGCTTTTCAAATTAAAATTAGCCAAAAATCCTCTTGAAAACTTGCAATGTTAATTAATATAATTTGCATGAAAAAAGAATAAATAAATTAAAAGTAATTTGCCTTTAAAATTCCGTAAAAGTAACGCCTAAAGCTCCTAAAGCTCAAAGAAAAAAAAAAGTTAGAACCGTTACGTTTTAAAAATAACAAACCCGAAGGTAAATAACTTTGTAATTCTGTACTGAAACCTACAAATTATAAAAATGAACGTTGATTTCAACAAAAAAAAATCAAAAAAAAATTCGAAATATAACACCTTCGAAAAGCTGACATAGTTTTTCTCAAATAAGCTAAAGAAAAAAGAAAGCATTTCCTTTATAAACTATTAAAAAGCATAAACTTTTATACTTACAGTTATGATGTCAAAAAGCAACCATATGCTTTTTAAGCATCGGCTGCGGCTGCGATTTATATAATATTATGTCACATAAATTGCTTTTTCCTTTTTTTTAAATAAAATAATTATACACCTTGTAAAGCTTGTCCTCTAAAGAAAGGTAAAGATCTTTTGCATCTATAAAGAAAGATTCATTACAATTATTTCAATGATTATTTTCGTCAATTTTCAATATCGTAGAAAATCCCAATCATCTTTAATTTATAAATTCTCGATTATTTTCATAAATTTAAGAATTTTTTAATATAATTAAAATAAAAAATAATTTTTTTTTTATACAAAAAGTGATTCAAATATTTCTTACAATGGTTGATTAGATAAAAATTTGATGGAATGAGTATTCCTTGATATTAGTTCTGAGGAGATTAACAAGTGAAGTGGAAGGTTTCTTTTCGTGCTACATTTAAAGCTAAACTTATTTGTCGTTAGATTTATCAAGTGCCAATAAAATCTAAATTTAAAAATACTTTATTGAATCAAATTTAAGAGAATGTTTTTCGATATTCGGTAAAAGATACATCCGAGTCAGTGAACAAATTTCAATTTGAAAGATTTTTGCAGCTAAATTTTATTTCCATATTCTGGATTTCGTTGCGTGTGTTATGTGCACAAATTGTTTT